CCTAAATTTCAGTTTTCATGCCATTTTACCTCACTGTCGAAAGTCGACATAGCTTTGGCTAACTGATATCGTTAAGAATCAGAGCTCGTATATTTCTTGACACACCGCAGAAAACGTGTCCGGGCCACGATTTGTCCTGATTTTTCACGACAGAGGTATCGGGGACACGGACACTCTCTGAAACGCCGCGTTTCATGACACCTCGCGTGTCGGTATACGATTTGCTAAGTGCCATGGGAGTATCGTGGCCCTGTAAATTCCACTAAATTACTTATTTCACGCAGTGCTACATTTTTACAGACTTCAATTCATAGTCAATCACTAGTGAAACTTTCGTAGCGATCGGACAAGGATAAAATGACTTTTAAGGCGATTCAAAAACATCGGTATGGTCTCCCAAAAACTGTTTCGAAACACCTTAAGAGGACACATTAAATTCTACAAACAGAATATTGCAATGCTGATCGTGCTACGTGATAATTAACTTTGCAAGACATTAACACGACACCGAAAGAACTCAAATCAGAGCGGGATTGTGGCCATAGACAGCTGTTTCTCCATTATTGTAGCTCATCAGTATGGGGCTCTGCTGAAAATTAACCCTCGCACTCTTTACTTTAACGTTTGGACCAAATTTCCACTTAGGGACGGATCATTATGAATGAATTTTTTGCAGGCAATCGCATGAATGTTTTCTGGTTAATTTGCGTGCATGGATTTTTTTCCATTTCATTTTCCCTCGCGCGAATAAATTTTTTTTGTACAGTGGAACCCCGCCTTACCGCCACCTGTTTTTTCGATCACCTCGTTATTACGACCATATTCTTTCGACCCAAGCGTAAAAAATCACTGAGTTATTTTATCATTTTTAATTAAATACCCCGAAAATGCTACCGTCTCGTTATTACGACCAGGATTTTATGACCCAACGGTCGGGTCACACTAACGGGGTTCCACTGTACTTTAGCCGCCCCTGCATACGTTTTTTCTAATGGTCCGTCGAATGCTCTAAAATCAAGAGAGGATAAAGGGGACGGAGAAGGCATCCCCCATACACACCCTATTCCATAGGTAATTCGTCTCGAGTTATTTTTAGAATCGGGATAAAGTTACCTCGCTCGCTGCGTGGATGTTTCGTGGAGGTTTCGCATGACGAAACGCCGTGCAAAACATGTCGGGCGAAAGCAATGAAAGCGTAAAGAGATAGAGAGCATTTCTGAATATTGAAGCGAAATGAGTCGGCGCTCACCTGGGAAAAGGGAATCGCTCGACTCTTTGACAACCCGTGAAATCAGTTTAACTCGAAGTTATCGTAACCTCAGTGCTTAAACAAGGAAAAATTTCGCCGGTCTATTGAAACCGGTCGTTTGTACAATAAAGCAAGTATCAAGTAA